TGGTGGAGTGGTTACTGCCTCTAATCTCCACATGTACACCATGGTGCCCATGTTCCCCATCCCCGAACTGAATGGCAGGTTCTGATACAAGTGTTTACCTTCTGACATTAAAGCCTCCCTCAGAACTCAGCAGCTTGCCCCCTTCACAGCCAGAGGGACATTTCTCACCAAGACATTTCCTCTGTTTTGTTTGAGGCCAAGAGAAGGCAGCCCTGACAAGACACCTAATGTGCTGCCATCCAGTCCTTTGCCTGGTGGAAATGGTTGCCATCAGTCAGAGGCCCCCTTTCCCTCCGCAGGAACACCTACCACAGGAGCCACTGCGTCCAAACGAATAAAACTGAACCCCTGAGCATCTTTCCAATCAGGCTTCAACTGCCTGAAATCTATAAACCACGTGCAGAGCAATTCACCCTGCTGCTCCCCCCCCAAAGTCTTTTGAAGCAAACAGACACAAAAGGCCTAGGGGGAATAAAAGATTTATCTCTCAATTTAAACGCATTAACAGTAACAGCTACTCCAGGTTTTGCCTAGCTGGTTCACGTCTCCAGCAACTTCGAACAAACAGGCAAACCTAAGTTAAACATTGAAGAATAGATAGTGGTTCAGAGAAAGCTGGCCCCTTCAACTAGGACTCCTTACTCAAGGCAGCGTCGGAAACAGTCCGATTCGTGTGTTTCATTGAGAGAATCTGGCTTTCTTTCCTTTTACATGTGTGTGTGTGTGTGTGTGTGTGTGTGTGTGTGTGTGTGTGTGTGTGTGTGTTATGCTGAGGGATGGGCACTGTGTGTGTGTGTGTGTGTGTGTGTGTGTCTGTGTCCATGGGCCTGTGGAGGTCAGAGGATAATTTGCAGGGGTTGGTTCTCACATTCCACTGTGTGGTTTCCATGGATTGAACTCAGGTCCTTAGGCTTGGTGGCCAGGGCCATCTCACAGGCATAGTTTTCCTCTCATAGCTATGCACAGCATACCTCACAGAGTTTATCATCATCAGCCTCTCAATGGCAACGGAAGAGAATTCTCCAGTTTCCACTTTACTTTTTGGGTTTTTTGTTTGTTTTGGTTATTTCTGTTTTAGGAAGCCACAAAAAAGAAAAAGACCAAATATAGCCAAACTTAGGGTACAGTTGCAATCACCTCCCAAGTATCCACTTCCCAGAAAACAAGAGAGAACTACAGAGAAAAAGTGTCTCAGCTTGGGTTTCTATTGCTGTGAAGAGACACCATGACCGTGACAACTCATATAAAGAAAAACATTTAATTGGGGTGGCTTACATTTTCAGAGGTCTAGTCCATTATCATCATGGAGGGGAGCATGGTAGCTGGGAGTACAGCAGCATGCAGGCAGACACGGTGCTGGAGAATTCTACATCTGGATCCAAAGACAACAGGAAGTGAACTGTGATACTGCAAGTAGCTTGAGCATAGGAGACCTCAAAGTCCACACCCCCCATGGTGACATAATTCCTCCAGCAAGACTACACCTTCTAATAGTGCCACTCCCTTTGGGGGGGAGCATTTTTGTCAAACTACCTCAAAAAGAGGACACATGAGAAAAGTTCTTTAACAGGCACCTGATGCCACAGACTGAATTCAAATGGAGAACAAGGGGAAGTCTCCGAGGAAAGCCCTGAAAAAGAGAGTCTGGAAATGGCCACATGATCAGGGACTCTCCTCGTAACTGCAGCCCCTGCAGCTTCACTGATGGGGGGGGGGATGTGGGAAAGTACCACAAAAGAGAGTCCTGTCCTTAAAGGGGCGGGGGAGAGTTGTATGAAGCACCATGAAAGGGACACTTCAGTTGTTTGGAGGGGAGCAGCAGGTGGTGGCCCACACTTTCAATCCCGACACTCGGAAGGCAGAGGCAAGTGGATCTCTGTGAGTTGAGGCCAGCCTAGTTTACAAAGCAAGTTCCAGGACAGCCCTGACTGTTACATAGAGAAACCCCGTCTGTAAAAATAAGACCAAACCAAAAACAAATAAAAGTGTTAGGCACATTTCAAATAGAGAAAGTGACAACGAAGCCTGTCTTCTTGCTGTCTGTTGTTATTTCATTTATTCCATAGCCTAATAAGTATGGACTAAACATCTTTGACTCCCCACCCTCTCCAGGGGTATTTGGTACAAGTCAAGCCCAAGGTCACACAGAACCTAGGGAATCTGTGCTGAGTTACATACCACACACGAGACCTGCAAACTTCAGACCAGGCCATCAGGCCAAGAGGGGGGAAAAAAGATGCTTGCAAACCACTGAGCCAACAAGGGGTCCCAGCTCACCAGGAAATGGGGTGTATGAGCAAGACTCGGGAACAGCAGGAAGACTTTCCAACCAGGACAATAGCAAGGTGGGATGTCTTAGGGAGGGTTAGGGTTGGCTGCCTACAAAGTGAAGCAAAAATATCCACTCCTGCCAGCTAAGCCATAGAAAAGCACAGAGCACACAAGGCAACAAATTTACTGTGGAAATATAGAAAATACAGACAAGGTGAAACACAGAAACCATCCCTAGTCCCATCACACATGCCACCGACATCTGTAATGCAAACATGCAGGGGCAGCTTAAACAGGAGAAAACCCCACCTCCAACTTTCAAGCTAGCTTCTTACTTGTTACTCAAGAGCATTTCTAATTACCTGAAAAACTCTCTGCAAAAAATGTTGTTGATGGTATATATATGACATAATTTATTATTATTATTATTATTGTTATTGAGACAAAGTCTCTCTATTTTGTAGTTCTGACTGTCCTGGAACTCACTCTGTAGACAAGGCTAGTATCAGACTCACAGAGATCCACCTGCCTCTGCCTCCCAAGTGCTCAGATTAAAGGTGGGCACCACACATGGTATCAGAATTTATTAAACCAAATCCAGATATATATATACATGTATATATATATGTGTGTGTGTATAGAGAGAGACGGGGGAAGGAGAAAGAGAGAGGGAGAGTAACATATATACTTCTAGTACTCTAGCTTATGTATATATGTGTCTCTGTACATGTGTATGCATGCACTCACATGCACACATGTTCATGTACATGTATATAAAATTTTGGGGGTTTTTTTGTTTGCTTGTTTTTTAAGACAGGGTTTCTTTGCGTATCGGTCCTGGCTGTTCTGGAACTAGCTCTGTGGAACTCACTCTGCAGATAAGTCTCTGTGTGCATTATTTGGGAGCTGGATGGCAGACCACCCAAAAGAGCAAAACAGCCAGAGAATCAAAACAACCAACAACGCCTTATGTTTGTTTATTTATTGGAGGTACTGGGGATGGAACCCAGGGCATCATGTTTGCTAGACCATTATTCTATCACTGAGCTACACCCCCAGCCCAGGAGAATACCAAGTTTCCCCAAAACTTAATTTCATAGGCTGTACATTACAAAGCACTTAAATGAATCACCCCCAAATCATAGCACAAATCAACAAAATAACAGGAATGGTGGTGGTAACTTTCAACATCTCCTTCCAAACCTTGCTCGTATGCTTTGACATCTTTACAAGTAATTTCGGTACTCTAAATGAGCAGGTTAACCTTTATTGGGATGAGAATTTAACCAGTGCCACACCACAAAAATATGTTTAAGGGGCTGGAGGGATGGCTCAGTGGTTAAGAACACTGGCTGCTCTTCCGGAGGACCAGGGTCCAAACCCCAGCACCCACATGACAGCTCACAATGGTTTGCAGCTCCAGTTCCAGGGGATCTGACACCTTCACACCAATGCACACAAAATAATTTTTAGTCTCATGTGTATGGGTATGCACATGCATCTGTATGTGGGCATGTGCACATAAAATCAGGTGCCCATGGGGACCAAAAGAGAGCATCACATTCCCTGAAACTCCAGTTACAAACGGTTGTGAGCTGTCTGACCCAGGTGCTGGAAACATATCCTGGGTCCTCTGCAAGAGCAACGTATGCGATAACCACTGAGCAATCTACCCAGCCTCCCAACAAAATTTCTTTTTTTTTTTTATCTAAAATCATGTAGGAACCATGGGTGTTGAAAACTGAGAGAGGGCCATGCTGAGCCAGCCCTGCCCTTCACTGGCCCTGGGAGAGCTCGCCCTGCCCTGCCCTGTACACTATAGCTGGAGAGCGGCCTCTGTAGTCATGGGGAGAGCTGTCCCACCCCTTACCACAGGAGAGCTCGCCCTGCCCTGCCCTGTACACTATAGCTGGAGAGCGGCCTCTGTAGTCATGGGGAGAGCTGTCCCACCCCTTACCACAGGAGAGCTCGCCCTGCCCTGCCCTGTACACTATAGCTGGAGAGCGGCCTCTGTACATCATGGGGAGAGCTGTCCCACCCCTTACCACAGGAGAGCTCGCCCTGCCCTGCCCTGTACACTATAGCTGGAGAGCGGCCTCTGTAGTCATGGGGAGAGCTGTCCCACCCCTTACCACAGGAGAGCTCGCCCTGCCCTGCCCTGTACACTATAGCTGGAGAGCGGCCTCTGTACATCATGGGGAGAGCTGTCCCACCCCTTACCACAGGAGAGCTCGCCCTGCCCTGCCCTGTACACTATAGCTGGAGAGCGGCCTCTGTAGTCATGGGGAGAGCTGTCCCACCCCTTACCACAGGAGAGCTCGCCCTGCCCTGCCCTGTACACTATAGCTGGAGAGCGGCCTCTGTACATCATGGGGAGAGCTGTCCCACCCCTTACCACAGGAGAGCTCGCCCTGCCCTGCCCTGTACACTATAGCTGGAGAGCGGCCTCTGTAGTCATGGGGAGAGCTGTCCCACCCCTTACCACAGGAGAGCTCGCCCTGCCCTGCCCTGTACACTATAGCTGGAGAGCGGCCTCTGTACATCGTGGGGAGAGCTGTCCCACCCCTTACCACAGGAGAAGAGTTGGGGGAAAAGGGGCTCCAATGGCAAGAGCATAGGGGAGCTGGCTCCACCCCTCTCCCGAGGGGGCGTGGTCCCAGAGTCCAGGACCCACCAGCTCAGCTAAGCCCAGGCCCACATTCCTGTGCCTTAGGTTGACTCACCCTAACATCTAATCTATGGCCTGCTGGAGTGCATGAAGGGACTAGTCTTGCAGAAGGGTAGCTGTAGGACATCCGAGAGGCGTTCCGATGAGGGTCCAGTGATGAAGGCGTGCCAGAGGCCAGAGGTCTTGAACTAGGCCGATGATAAATTGCACTGAATGTTTGTGGGTAGGGTTGACTGGACAAAAGGTCATACTGGGTCACACACCCAAGCTCCTGATGCCACTTGGATGAGGGAAGAGGTGTTGGAGATGCAGGAAAGATGAAGGAGCGAGGTGAATTTTTTGCTTGTTTTGTTTCTGTAAACAGAAGTTTCTGTCCTGCCCGGTCCCGTGGTGGTTTAATCTCGAATAAACACACAGAGGCTTGTATTAATTATAAACTGTTTGGCTGATGGCTCAGGCTTCCTATAGGCTAGCTCTCTCTTAATTATTAGCCCACTTCTATTAACCTATATATGTATATCCACTTGGTCTTGGCTTACTGGTGATGCTTGGGTCTCTTTCTTCCCTCGGCAGCTACATGCATCTCTCTGGCAACTCACTATCAGAGTCCTCTTCCCAGAATTCTCCTGTCACATAGCCCTGCCTGTACTTCCTGCCTGGCTACATCCTGCCTGTCCATTGGTCAAAACAGCTTTATTCATCAACCAACAATGGAAACATATATTCACAGCATACAAAAGGACAACCCCCAACAGTTTTGATTTTGGGGGGGCATCTCCTTGGGGGGGGTGGGTATGGAGGAGCTGGGAGGTAAGGGACTAGGAGGTAAGAAAGATTGGAGTGCATGATGTGACGATTCCCAAAGAATCAGTAAAGAACTACGCTATTAAATAAATAAAATAAATAAATAAATCACACTGAACTGGAGAGAAAACAGTGATTATCTAGAATCTACTTCAGTGATTTCTGAAATCACTTCCTGGGAGCTGAAAACATCTGTCTATATGTCTGCTTATCTATCTATCTACTATCGATCTTTCAGTCTCCTGTTTGTTATGCCTGTTTTATATCACTATCTCTATTATCTATGTCACCATCCTGTCATCTCTATTTTCTATTTATCCAGCTATCTTCTGATCTTCTGCTTGTTATCTCTATTTTTATCTGTTATCTTCCTGTCACCTCTAGTATCCGTCTGCCATTATCCTCCACTTGCCATCTCTAGAATCTACCATCTCTGTCTTCTACCTACTAAGGAAAAGAGACTCAGAATTTGTCTACGATGTATCGCTTTTGTTCAAATGTGGTTTAGCTGGGAAGCGTATACACCAGGGGCAAGCTGAGCAAGTAAGCATTTCAGAAAGAGCTTCTAGATTCCTCTGGCAAAAAGGCCTGATTTGAATGTCATTAACATAGCTGGCCTTTCAGGTCTTCTAAAATGGCCTTTCATTTCCATGCGAATATTGAAATTGTCGCGCGGGGAAGGTGACAGACCCCTTTGCCTGCATCTCAGCTGATTTATATGCTCTCCAGTGGAGGTCATATCGATATGAGACCCTGTCTCTGTCAGCTTTGTGGGTCCCTTAACCTGAGAACCCTGAGACCCACTGAGAGCTATTCATACTTGGCGGACTGATTTCTCCAGTCATTTTGTCATAGTAACTGACAATTCACTGCCATCCAAGTGTATCTGGGTGCACAATGCCTACATAAATACCACTGGCAATTCTGCGCATATCCCTTTGTAGAAACGGTAGGTTCACTTACTTCTGCCACTTGACTTTCTATAGCTATGTGCCAGGAGATCATTTCCACCGGAGCCGTACAGCTGACAGACCCAGCGGGACTTGTTTCAAATACGCACAAAGTTCAGAATCCCCACGAGCGCAGAATGAGAAGAATCGAAACTTCAAACAGGTTCGCCTGCAAGAAGAGACAAAGACCCCGAGGGCAGCCAGGTGCAGCCCAGCTCCTAATGCCATCCCAGAGAGTTTAGGGCCGGGAAAGAAAAGGCTGTCCACTGTAAAGCATAACAATTACGCAAGGACAAAAGTCACAAAAGTCACTGGCTTCCTTAATCACATCAGTCGGTCTGAAGGGTGCACAGGACACAGCTAACTCAACAGTAGGTGGGGATCTCCCGGTGACAAATTTCTAGCGGGTATTGCTCTACCGAGGGTATTCCTGGTGCTCCTCCAGGCGTTGGTGTAGCCGGCCTTCCACGGACAGTCAGGCTCGGCAGAGGACCAAAGATGTCGGCAGTGGGCACTGGCATTATCAGTTTACCTTCAATGTTTTCAGCTCAGTTTCACCGTGAGTAAAATTTAGTCATAAAGATACCTACTGTAAGGATTCAGGCGTTATGATGCTGACCTGCCCCTGTCACCTGACAGAATGCACTCAGGCAGTACCCAGGGCAGCCCAGGTGCAAAGGACCCCTTTAAAAGAAAGACCCCTGCCCACTTATGCTCTCTTTCCTGCTCTCTTCCTCGCGGTTCCCCTGGGGCAGGCAGGACTTTTCCTGTCTCCGTCTTCTCTTCTGTCCTCTCTCTGTCTCTGTGTCTCTTTACCTCTGTTCTCTTTCCTTCCCCCTCCCTCTCCTTTCTAATAAAACTTCTCATTTAAGCCATATCCCTTGGTCAACCTCGCCCCCCACAGCCCCCCACGCAAGGTTCCCTTCGCGCTTTGTCTTAACACCTATGGGGTAGCCTTCGGATTAAATGAGACAACTCACTCAATGGTTCCTGGGTGCCTTCTTGCACAGGTCTCATAATGGGACTGGGAAACGAAAGGTTTGGGAGGGAAAGGGTCTGCGTGTATTTGCTCTGGATGTGTCCAGTCATAAAGAGCTCCTTCCGTGCAAGACTCGGCTCTGCAGATGAGCCCTGGAAAGACTGGGTGGCCTGCCTGAAGAAACAGCTCACGGCAGCTGAAGGCCACAAAGCTTGGCAAGCTCTCCAGCAGGATGGGATCACTGAAGATTGGAAACAGCACAGTGAGGGCCAGAGAGGGGGCTAACATCAGTGTGCTCCTTGTTGTTGCGGGAGTGCCGCATGGGAGAACAGATAGACGATGCTGCCGAGCGGTAGCAAAGCTCAGTTACTTAGAGCTTTGTGATGGCGGGCTCAGGAGCACCCCTGCCTCGCTGGACATCTTCTGTGCTGTGTGGTCTGTTCAGCCTCTTCATTGCCTTATCTCGCTCAGGCAAGGATCAGGCCAATAAAACCAAGATCTCTCTCTCTAGTTCCTGATAACGAAGGCTGGTGTCAACCGGGAGTTGATTTTTCACGTAGTCCTACGTTTTGTGACTTCAGAGGCTGGGATGTAAGAACAATGTAGTGTGGGAAGGGAGACCAACCCCTCCCCCAAAGAAGAAAGACTAAACAGAAAGCATTGTAATTAAGCTCATAGCTTTGTATGCTAATTAAAACGGCAAGAATGAGGAATATAGCATAAGACTGGTACCCCACCGGGTTATCCCAGCATGACAGAAACAGAGGGAGGAGAAGGGCCAGTCCAAGGCCAGCCCAGCCTACCTATGAAGACCACGTTTCAAAAATAGCAAGAACAAAAAGAAGAAAGAGAAGGAGGAGGAGAAGAGGGACGGAGGAGAAAGAGGGATAGAAGGAGAGGGAGGAAAAGATAGAGGAGGAGGGAAATAAGAAGAGGAGAAAGGGGAAGAGGAAAAGGAGGAGGAGGTCATAAAACACCATTTCTGGCATCTTTGCCCTTGGTTAGAGCATTCACAGACATTACAGACTCAAGGTGAGGGGTCAGAGCTGCACCTCTCCACAGGGGAAATGCAGTCCCCTAGTCTGCGTACAGAACACAGCTTTACAAGTAGAGAACATCCTGGGAGACCTGCTGATGGGAGCTGCCGCTAAGGGCTCATTGAACACTGTTGCTATTAAGCCCTTACCAAGGATATATTAATGTCTAGTAAATGCAGGCGCTGCCTCAGGCACCCTCGGGCACAGCACCTCACTTTACCCGCCCAATAACCACCAGAGGCAGGCAACTCGTAGTGCCTGTTTCCAGTGCTGAGCATGGGACAATCTCAGTGACGGCTCTCTGCTTCCATTCACCGATGACTGCGCATCGCTTTTCGTCAGGCAGTGTGCTCCGAGGAAAACATGGCGAACAAAATGGGTATTCTGAAAATCTTCCCTTCTTCCTTCTCTCGGCTCCCTTACTGGCTTTCTGACCTCGACCCACACTCGTTCATACATAAATACACAAACAAAACCAGACGCTGTGGTTGGCAACATGGCCCACCAGCGAAGGTGCTTGCTTCTAAGCCTGGCGATCTGAATTCCAAAGCCTGGAGTCCACGGGATGGGGAGAAGAGAACCGCTAAGTTGTCCTCTGATCTCCACATGTACGTACGGGTCCTCATCAATACCCACACCCACACAACACAGAGATATGAAATTAAACATTCTTTTAATTAGAAGCTAGGATCTGGATGGGAGAGAAGGCATTCAACAGAAAGGATTTTCAAAGATTTATATTATTTCATGGGTATGTGTTTCTGCCTGCAGATATGGATGTGGGTATGTGTTTTCTGCCTGCAGATATGGATGTGGGTATGTGTTTTCTGCCTGCATATATGGATGTGTGCTGGGTGCATGCCGGGTGCCTGAAGAGGGCAGGAGGGCACCTGATTCCCTGGAACCTACAGTTAGAGATGTTTGCCAGCTGCCATATGGGTCCTCTGTGAAAGCACCCAGTTTGTTTTTTGTTTGTTTGGTTTTTTGGGTTTTTTTGTATTTTTGTTTGGTTGGTTTGGTTTGATTTTGTTTTTGTTTTTGAGACAAGGTTTCTCTGTGTAGCCCTGGCTGTCCTGGGAACTTGCTCTATAGACCAGGCTGATCTTGAACTCACAGAGATCCATCCCACTTTACCTCTGTTTCCCAAGTGCTGGGACCAAAGGCGTGCACCACCACTGCCCAGCACAGTTGGTATTCTTAGTCAATGTGCAGGGCAATCTCTCCAGCTCCAAAAGGGACTTTTTGTTTTTTGTTTTTTGTTTTGGTTTTTACGAGACAGGGTTTCTCTGTATTGTTTTGGAGGCTGTCGGTCCAGCCCAGCCTCAAACTCACAGAGATCCACCTGCCTCTGCCTCCTGAGTGCTGGGATTAAAGGCATGCGCCAACACCGCCCGGCTTCAAAAGGGACTATTTTTAAATGATCCCCAAAGTAGAGTGAGACAGGGCTTCAGGAGAGTGTATAAGCCAAAGGAGCTGCTCTGTGCAAGGCCCTGTGGTGAAGGGGGAAGGGCAGAGTGAATAGGTAGAGGGGGAGGTGTAGAGAGAGGCTTTTCCTTGTCTGCTGCTTGGTTTTTCCCCCTGCCAGTCGCCTGGGCTCTGCCGCGTTGTAGTCCCCAAATAACACATAAGGTGCTGTATTAATTATGAAGCTGTTGGCCTTGTTTGTTTCTTACTGGCTAGTTCTGACTTAAGTATTTATCCCATAATTGTTAATCTAAGTATTTCTCTTACGGGAGAAGTTTCCGGGCTTCTTATCCCTATGGCGGTTACATCTTGACTCCCTGTGTTTCTCCTACCCAGAGTCCTCCTGGACTCCTAGTCCCACCCCCTCTTGCTTCCCTATTGGCCAACAGTGCTTTATTGACATATACACAGGACTTCCCCCATCAGGGAGGGGCATGGAAGCGTGGCTAGAGGCACGGATGTCACATAAACCATGAAGAGCTCAGCCAGAACCTGCAGGGAGAGGCCCTGAGTCCCTGTGGGCTGTATCAATCCAGGACAAGTTGCAGGGTCTTGCTGAGCCAAAGTGCCATCGTCCCTGCTCAAAGCACAGGTTTGTTGAATCATCTGTTCCATCCTCTCCCCATCTTCCCTCCCTCCCTGTGTGAGTGTGCCCTCACTTGCTCAGCAAACAGGTTCTTGTCCAGCCCCTGAATAAATCTCCCTGCATACTACTCAGTGTATGGGGGGGAAGACAATGGAATCTTGAAATTCACAGGCAAATGGATGGTACTAGAAGAAACCATCCTGAGTGAGGTAACCCAGTCACAAAAAGACAAACAAGGTATGTGCTCATTTATATATGGATTTTAGACATGGAGCAGGGAAGTACCAGTCTACAATCCCACTGCCAGAGAGGCTGAGAAACAGGGAGGACCCTAAGAGAGATATGCATGGTACCCTGGAGAAGGGGAATGGGACAGGATCTCCTGAGGGGATTGGGAGCATGGTGGGGAGGGGAGAGGGAGCTAGAAGAAGGAGAGAGGGAGAAGAGGAAGGGAGAGAAGGAAATGGGGGAACAGGAAGTTTGAGTCAGGGGAAGAATAGAGGAGAGCAGGATGAGAGATACCATAATAGAGGGAGCCATTATAGGTTTGAGGAGAGATCTGGAACTATTGAGATTTCCAGAGATCTACAAGGATGACACCAACTGGCAACCTAACCAATAGTGGAGAGGCTACCTTAAATGCCCTTTCCTGATAATGAGATTGATAACTACATGATATGCCATCCTAGAGCCTTCATCTAGTGACTGATGGAAGCAGAGGCAGACACCCACAGCTGAACACTGAACTGAACTCCTAGAACCCAGTTGCAGAGAAGGGGGAGTGAAGGGCAAGACCGGGCTGGTGGAGCCCACAGAAGCAGCTGACCTGAACAAGGGGGAGCCCATGAACCCCAGACTGATGGCTGAGAGGCCAGCATGGGACTGATCCAGACCCCCTGAATGTGGATGTCAGTGATGAGGCCTTGGCAATCTGTGGGGCCTCTGGTAGTGGATCAGTATTTATCCCTGGCATATGAATGGACTTTGGGAGCCCATTCCATGTAGAGGGGTGCACTCTCATGTTGGGGAAGTCTTATGTCAATAAAGTACTGTTGAGCCTATAGGGAACCAAGATGGGAGGGACTAGGAGTCCAGGAGGATTCTGGGAAGGGGAAACACAAGAGAGTCAACATGTGACGCCATGGGGGTAGGACGCTGGGAACTATTCTCTGGTAAGAAACATACTTAGATTAACAATTATGGGGTAATTACTTAAGGCAGAGCTAGCCAGTAAGAGACAAACAAGGCCAACAGCTTCATAATTAATATAGCCTCCTGTGTGTTTATTTGGGACTCATGCGGATCTAGAACCAGGCTGGCGCGGCAGAGCCCAGGTGACTGGCGGGGGATAAACCAAAGCGGCTAGCAAAAGAAAAAGCTTCTCTTAACACTCTCAGTCTGGACACATGGGGGAAGACTGGGCCCTGCCCTGAATGATATGACA